AATATTTGAGGGCAAATCAGTAATTAAAAGTAAAAAATTTAACCATGTCATCATTTTTCGCCAGATGGATATTCCACGTAATTTAATAAAAAAAAACAAAATGAGTTTTTTCGTTAATTAACGTGCCACCTCAGCCAAAATTTAAGGGAATGATTAAAAAGGGACTGGATTTGTGAACAGTAAGGACCAAAAAAGGAATTTTTTCGGTACAGAGACCAAAAAAGAGCTTTTTCCTATAGTAGAGGGACCAAAAAGGGTATTTAACCTTTATTTTTCAGAATAAAATCGAGGAAAATTGAAACAAATCTTACATAAATGATTAGTAATATTTTTTTTGTTTGCAGGAACATGAGTGGATTTTACAAGATAGATTTTCTGGACGAGGCTGCTTATTTCTTCTGTTTTTAGTTGGAGAATGCTCCAGGCAATCTACCACCGGCTCAGAAGGCTGCAAAGGTAAAGTACAATGAAGAAGTTGGGGTAGTTTTCCAATAGACCAATGTGATGAATTCATCTCCGGAAAACTAAAAATGCACGAGTAGCTCGTCAATTTCGGACAATTCTTTGCGCTTGCCGCCCCTATGGAGGGCTGCAAAAACCCAGATGCCATTCATGTGGGCATTTTGAGATAGAAAAGAGAAGTGAAGAAAGGGAACCATGGTTAGGCCAAAATTTGTGTTGACACTTTAGGAGTAGTAGCTGAAGAATGCAAAGGTAGCTTGCTAGCTTTGGATAGGAGTCTCGGTGATGAGAAATTGGGGGAACCATGTCACACCTGTGGCACAACAAACCATACTGTCAAAGATTGTAGTAGTTTCTCCAGAAAAAATATGTAACACATACAAAAGGACTTGCAAAACATGAGGATCACCAAATCTTAAGTACACAGTACTAATATATAATGGTTGCTATTCCTTTTTCTAGTTTCAAGACTAAGGACATTGCCTTATTTGGTTTAATTTCATTTACACCACATATGACTGAGGGACTCACGAGTAAACTTACTCTAACGCCCCATCTGATATCTAGTAGCTCACAGATTTGGCATCATAACTAAAATTATGTAAGATTAGGTGTAGTTGGAGCGGTTGTTGGGAGAGGGAAGCTGAAAAACTTCAATTCCTACATATCTCCTTTTGACTTGACAATTAGATGACCACTAAGACTAACCGAAAATCAATCTTGCCCAAAGAATAAACCATGTGGTAGTCATCACTGGCAACATAGCAACAGACACCAAGCACAGGAAAATTGTGCATCATTGATCAATTGATAATGGTTGCAGTTTCGTGGTATTGCACTGTTATCCTTATGAGTTGGACGTTGCTTTGTTTGGCTGAAGGCAAGGTGCATTACTATGACTTTCATGTAAGTACACAAATCCAACAGAGAAGGCCTCCCTTTATTTTGTCATCCTTCTCTGTGGTTCTTTAATTAATCCCACTGCTGTTTTTTTTTTTCTAACACAGCTAAGGGAGAAAAACTTCACAAGACTTTGTACAACCACCAATATGTTGGTTGTAAATGAACAGTTGCCCGGCCCAACCATTTATGTTCAAAAGGGTGATACTGTATTTGTTAATGTCTATAACCATGGTTTCTATGGTGTCACAATTCACTGGTATGCTTCCTTGAACCTTTCCCACTGAAGCAAATTTGCTGGTACATATATAGTGCTTGGACAAACAGACTATCAGACTTCTCAGAAAAATTAATTGTTGTCTAAACGTTTACTGCAGGCATGGTGTAAAGCAACCCAGAAATCCATGGATGGATGGTCCGGTATACATCACACAGTGCCCAATCAAACCAGGAATGAACTTCACATATGAAGTCAAATTTTCGGACGAGGAAGGGACCCTTTGGTGGCATGCTCATAGTGATTGGACCAGAGTTGGAGTTCATGGTGCCATCGTCATATACCCCGAGGAAGAAGCCACTTATCCTTTCCGGCATGATGCTGAAGAAGTACTTGTTCTTGGTATGCAAAGAAATTCACTAATCAACGGCTTTAAAGCAATTTTGAATTATGATCATAGTTGAACAATAGCATTCTTTCACTTTGCTCACTCTTGTAGGAGCTTGGTATACCTATGATGTGAACTGGCTGGTGATAGAGTCAGACGGTAAAACAGAACCAGTCTCCGATTCTTACACCATCAGCGGTCAACCTGGAGACTTCTGTCCTTGCTCTCGAGGTATGACATCATTCATACTGAAGCATAAAGATATTAATTCAATTTTATCTCGTGAACATTGCACGAGTTTTGACAAATACAATTGAAGAGATATAGTCTACATGAAAATCAAATGTTTTGTTGTAGAGGAGACATACCATTGGGAAGTTGAGTATGGCAAGACCTATCTTCTTCGGCTGGTCAACGCAGCACTAAATGCTGAATTGTTCTTTGCAATAGCTGAACACAATCTGACTGTTGTTGGAATGGATGGAGCATATCTGAAACCTTTCGAGTCGACCTATGTTGATTTAGCTGCGGGACAAACTATGGATGTTTTGGTTACGGTAAACCAATCACCTGGTCAATATTACATGGCTGTAAGACAATTGTTCACTGGTGAAGCTAGCTTCACTAAACTTGACAAGTCAAATGTCACAGCAATTCTACAATATAGTGGTAGCCATACTCCTCCTATGTCGCTGCCTTATTTTCCCAACACCCTTCCGGGCTACTATAATATACATGCTGCAATGAGCTTCAGGAGCAAATTAAAGAGCTTCTTTCCCCAGAATGTCCCTAAAAACATAACAACTCGCATGTTCATCACAGCTAATCTGCAAGAGTACATGGTTAACGCCACCAGCAACTATTACATCTCAACCTTCAACAACATATCATGGGTCAATCCTGATGTGGACGTCCTTCAAGCTTATTACTAGTAAGTATTTCATTCTGATTCTCAACACCTATTTGATAATTGGAAATAACATGCAATGTTCCTTATTTTGCTGCAGTAACATGAGTGGATTTTACACTGTAGATTTTCCTGACGTGCCTCCAACTTTCTATGATTTTGTGGCATACGATTTGGGTGCCAATACCACATTCGGAACGTTGGGGACAAAGGTGAAGGGGCTAGAATATGGTGAAGAAGTGGAGATGGTGTTTCAATCGGCTAACTCTATGAATGCATCAATGGATCATCCAATGCATCTACATGGACATAGCTTCTATGCAGTTGGAAGTGGTGATGGGGACTTTGATTTTGAGGAGGATCCGAAAACCTACAATTTGGTTGATCCACCTGCACTAAATACAGCCACCGTACAAAAGTCAGGATGGCTTGCAATTAGATTCAAAGCAAATAATCCCGGTACGAATGTCACTCAATAGATTGTTTTTCTAAATTTTGAAGTGAAATGTATAAATGGGATGATTTTTTGCAGGAGTATGGCTGTGGCATTGTCACTTGGACCGACATTTGAGTTGGGGAATGAACACTGTGTTCATTGTGAAGAATGGTAACACTCCTGAGACAACAATCCAAGGACCCCCTTTTAACATGCCTGTTTGTGAAGAGAAAACATCTATTAACCTCAAGAGGCTAAATGATTCGCCGTTACACTCTGAATCTGAAGCTGTATAACTTCGGATGCAGTGTTAATTATTGGAACAGAAGCAGGTGAATTGACATATATGATATTATATAAAAACAAGGTCTAATCTTGTTTTAAAAGAAATTTTCTTTTTCTTTGGAAATTGAGTATAAAGAACATAGAAGATTAAACATAGTACAGGATTCATGTTAAAGCATACAATCACAACCTTACGTCTCTGCAGTGCTCGTTGGGGGCTTTGGGGAAATCAAGCAGGTGAATGAATGCAGGCAACTGGGGGATGGGGAAAGAAGGATTTTGTAATTTCAACTCAATTTTGGGCTGTCTATGTTTTTTAAAACGGGTACTTTCATTTGAAGTCCATTGGGCTGGCCATCAAAAGAAATAAGTCCATTGGGCTTTTAATTAAGTTAATTGACCTTAACCTTTTGTCAACACCGTTTCTAGAGGCAACAAATTTCATTATTTCATACTGAAATAGGTCCGATCGCTCAAGCATCAAGGTTTTTAGCCAAATATATAAAACAGAACGAAATTTCGAAATAAGAGTTCGAACGCCATGGGATAAAGCATTTTAGCAAAAGTAAGCAGAATAGTCTGAAATTAAAGGCATAGTAGTAGTAAGTAGCATATCCATTCTCTCAACCAGCCATGGAAGGAGAATGAATATATATGTTGTTCCAAGTAAAATTCCTACTTACAATCCAAACCATAGGCTTATACATATAAAGGAGTATCAATGTCCATCTCCAAGTAAAAGTTCAAGGGAAAGACAAAAAAGAGAGAGGCAAGGAAGGAAGGGATAGAAACGAAGAAAAGAGATGAGATAGATCAAGAGAGAGGGAAGGATGAGGATCTTACCTAAGTCCTAACCATGGTTGGTGGGTTAGAGAGGAAGAACCCAAAGGAACCAAAATATCTCCTTGGGTTACATGCAAAATGCTTTGGGAACTCCACTACCATTGATGGAGTTCTTTGATGATGAAATGTTATGCTAAATGCAACAACAAAAAACACTATTCCTTCTAAGGTATTAGTAGTGACAATTAAGGGGCTAATACTCCCAAAGTCTTAGCCATAAAACGAAATTTTACAAGAAAGAAACAAGTGTTAGTAAAAAGACTTTTCCTTCCCTTTCCATAAGAGAAGATTTGGCTGGTTAAAATAAAGTTGTAATGTTTGCAAAGGAAGAAAGCATTTTATGGTAACATGACTACATGGTCCTAGTTCTAAAATCCTAAGACTACATGTCAATGCGCAAAAAAGAACTTGTGGGACAAATCCATTGCCCTTGATTTTTTTCTAAAAACTGACTCATTATCCAGAGAAGTGATTAGCCAAAGTTGGAGGAATTATCTTAGCCATTTTGCTTGCCTTTGATGTTGTTGAAAATTTACATTTTTGGGCAAACCATTTTCAGCTTTATTAGCCTTTCCTAGGCTAAAACTTACCAAAAAGGCTTTTTTTTTCACCTAGCCTTTTCCAAGGCCAGTAACTTAGCTTAACCAACAGCTGAAGATGGGTTTTTAAATATTACAAATGCTTTGGTTCTCATCCAGGAAAACCCTTTTAAGAGACAAGATGCAAATGCATGAGAAGTTCTCCAATTTTGGAGGTGACTTGCAGCCCCTATGAAGGGCTGCAAAAGGCCCAGATGCCATTCATGTGGGCTTCTTTGAGTTAGAAAAGAGATTTGAAGAGAGAAAGAGAACCATGGTTAGGCCAAAGGTTTTTGTTGAGACTTGAGGTGCAGCAGCTGAAGAAATGTAGGGAAATCTAGCTTTGGATTTGAGTCTCTCTTAGCGATGAGGAATTGGGGGAGCGTGAAGAGCCATCGTCACGCCTGCGGCACAGCAAAACACACTGTCAAAGATATCAGTACCTTCTCCAAAGCACATACAACATGATTTGCGAAACATGAGGATCACCACATTCATAATTTTATAGTACTAATATAAATAAGAGTCAATTGAATAGATAAATGCTTTAGAACTTAATTAGAAAACAGGATTAAAAAAACAATTTTAACTATATAGAAATGTTTTGGTAGTTTGAAATGCACAAAGCAAATCATTGATGGGGGAGGGGCTAAATGTGGGGTTATCCTCCGCATAAATGTTTGCATTTTTTGCAGTCTGGCATTTTGCTAATATTATAACTTGAAGCTGAAAAATTAATATTTGATATATGCAATACAAACCTGATTGCAAGGCTGGTGTTGTTGCAAGAGACATGGGTGCACCATAGTTCTGAGGATAATTCCCAGTGGAGTTAATGGCAGGGTACTGAAACAAGTGGGCGGGATACTGGACGCCGTATCCCTGCCCGGAAGTAAAGCTGGCCGTGGTGGCTCCTCCGCTCCCTTCTCCGAACTGGAGGTACGGATAGAATGCAGTGGCTGCACCAGTCATCAATCCACCTAGACCAGTGCCATACACAGGGTACTGAGCAGCGGCCCCTCCATACACACTGTAGTAACTCTAATGAACGATGCCACAAGAAACAAAATAATTAATATCAATCATAGTTACTACCGTTGGAGAATAATTGCCACAAATGTGAGGGAAATTAATTTAAATGATGGATTTGGACCACACGATATGGTCCAAAGTGGTAATGATCATGAAATCTGAGGATAGCAAGGACCACAGCTGTGTGCATACAGAGACCAGTGCTGGACCAAACATTACCCACATAGACTTTTCACCAAGCCCAGGAGAGTGATATTGATAGACATGAAAATTTTAATTATGAGTCTAGCAGGGGACAAAACCTCAATCGTTTTCAGATTTTACTGAGTTTTTTGGTGTTTTATATGTACAATCAAATCAATGCCAAATAGTACATTTACGCCGGCCCGTGAGCCGTGATTTTTGAAGATCAACGTATGGACCGTATATAATTTACTGTCAATAATTTTATGGATTTAATAAGTCTTATACACAAAATGTGTGTACCCAAAACATAGAAACAATCAAAACATAGATACTTTCACCAATCTACAGAATTTATTTGAATATAATATTTATACTTTAAACTTTGAAATAAATAGAAAAAAGAAAACATTATTTCTTGTCATTTTTTATTACATACTTAACCCGTATGCTTAATATATTGAAAAAAAAAATTATTGAATGGATTCAATATCAATTGAATGGGTATCCACCTTCTCGTCTCTTTAATATATGTGTTTACATCGCGAAGACAAAAGTTAATGTTCTTTTGGAATAAAATTAACTCAAAAAATGAAAAAAAATTAGGAAATCTACTTCATTTTATCACATAAGATTTCTTCTGAAAAATGATTTAGTTTTATTAAGAAGTTGGAGCATATGACGATATATATTTAAAATCTTAGATAAAGATATCAGAAATATTAACTGTAAAGGGAGGCTAAAAAGTCATTGTCTCATAAAAAGGATCGATGCTTAAAAACGAATCCAAAGATGTAGCGTGCATAAAGCAAAAGAAAGAAGAAATTTGTACAAACCGTTGGGTATGTGTAATCCGGCGAGTATGAAGAGTACCTGAATCATATTTCGTCAAAAAACAAGACTTAAATTAGATCAAAATTCTAAATACGTACAATAAACACTTTTGAATATTCCAACATGCATGTGTGCGCATAACAACATTTGCATGTCTGATGTCTCAATATTCTTTAATGGTTAAGTTCATATATACTACAAGCATTTGTGCATTGCATAACATATATGCATGTATCATGTATATATATAATTCTGTGCACGATCAATACATGTCTTATTTAGAGAGAGAGAAAGGGAAAGAGAGATAGTGTCCATAATTAATGGTAATATATAGTAAAAAAGAGGAATGAATATGTTAATGTATAAAGGTTATGATGATCGATGAATGAGCGTGCTGGGACAGCCCTAGATTAATATGCATGAGTTGGCAATGCACGTGCATGCCGGCTTAGAGAGAGAAAAGAGAGAGTATAATAAAAAAAGAAAACAAAACAAAGGAACATACCCATAAACATTATAAGGAATCCCTTGTTGGATGGCATAATGAGGGAAGGTTGCAGCTGAAGCAAAAGCTGTTCCCACTCCGCCTCCAAACCCTGTCTGAAAGGAGCTCATTACCCTAAAGTTCCTCCCTGCTCCTCCTGCCACATTTTTAATTTATTTAACCAAAAATTAATATCCAAATTTAATTAATTTTAAAAAAAATCTAAAAAGAATAAAATTAAGCGCATAATAATAATTAACAAAGCTGTTTGCATGCATTTGCATTAGGGACTACTCTCATAACCATCAAGTGCCAAAGAAGTGAATGGGACATTCCTCAATATGGTAGAATATTCATATATGATCTGTACTAATTTTTACCTTATATAATGAGAAAAGGAATATTTTTCGGATAAAGTCAAACTTCAGCTAAGATATATAATTACATGCATAAGAGAATAACATTAACATGAAAGGTAAAAATAGATATGATTTGATCAAACTTTTTCCAGATCTGACAAATTAACATGTCCTCACCCAAAGCCTAAATTGAGTTAAAAGTGCGTATCATATGGGTTAAATGAGAAGAGAAAAAAGACCAATAAGAAAGTAAAAGGAAATGTAACCCAATACCATGCTTTGGAGTTGAGGGTTTGGATCTTTGAACACCCATCGAAGCAAGGTTACAATTAGCCCTCCTCCCGTCGATCACAGGAGCCGGATCAACACAAGCTCTCATGGCTGCCTCCGGTTCACGAAAAGTTACCTAAAACACAAACAAATTAAGACATTGATAATTCAGAGTAAAAAAAATATAAAAGTTGAAATGATAAATGAACTCATGATATGGTGCCTCAAGTGTTATGGATACATCTCTAGATCTTAAAGTATCTCTTATTTACTTCAAGATCTAGTGATAATCAAAGAAGAACAAGAAAGAAAAATGACTAAAGTAGAAAATTAATAAACTTACAAATCCATAGCCCTTAGATCTTCCGGTGACCTTATCAGTGATGACAACAGCCTCCAAGATCTCACCAAACTGCTCAAAGTACTTCTTCATAGTCTCTTTCTGGGTCTCCCATGCTAATCCCCCAACAAACACCTTAGTGTAGGTGGTATCACCAAATTGCCCGGACAAATTAGCTGGAGTCATGCTTTTCTGGGTTCAAAAGAATGGACAAAAACCCTTCTCCCTCTCAAAGGAAAAATCAGAGAAAAGAAAAACCCTTATTCCTTGCCAGGGAACGATCTAAGGATGATATTTTTGGAGGTAAGAAAAATGGTGGAGGTGATAGGAGAGAGGGAGTGAATTAGGTCAGAGAAATGAAGAGAGAGAAATTAGGAGGGAAGAGAAAGCAAAAGTTAGAAAAAAAGGAAAGTCCCCTCTAGTAATACGGACATGAATTATATAGACAGTAGCCCCACCTCTTTACGTTCTTTCTTTAGATTTTCCACGCGCCGTGTTTCTCACGCCCTTTTAACTGAGTTCACGTTCCATTTCTCAGAGTGGGGATGGGTTCAGAGACATTATTATGCCGGCATGGCTGTACTTTGTATTATTTTAAGGGGGATATGGAAAGACTGTTTTGATGTAAAAAGTTGTGTTTAATTACGAAATTTACCACGAAAAATTGGGAGAAGGGAAAGGTACGTGGGTGGTGGCAGAAACGGAACAGGTTAAAAAAACATAAGCGAAACGGACGGGAGGGAATTAGGGTCATGAGATCACGCGGGAAGTCAACGGTCAACGGTCCAATTAGTTGTAGCTTCTGGCTAAAGTTGTGATTCTGTGTATATCTCTTTGCTGCAGAGAATAATATTGTAGTTAATCTCTGTAAAGTCGAATAATATTGTAGTTAATCTCTGTAAAGTCCCGTTCACAAATGTTGGAACATAAAGTATATGTTCTCGTGTTTGTTTCTTTTTTGGTTTTTTGGTTTTTTTTTTATATATAAATTATTAAAGGAATTAAAAACCCTTGATATTTAAAATATTTTGAATAACAATGAAAAAGACTATAATATTTTTTTATCAATTAATATGTAAAGAAAATATATTCATTTAGAGTACTTAAAAAATTTCACAAATAGTCCTGATTTTTAATTAAATATTAAAATGTTTTGTTTTTTACTTTTTTTTTTATAATGATTGTTATTTTTTTTTAATGGGTTAAGTTTTTACTAAATGAGCATATAATTTAGTGAAAATTTCTTTTCTTATAAGTGGAAATATATATCTCTTGAATTGGAGTTTTGATAGCACTAAGCACGGGTGGAATTGAATAAGTAAGAATTAATGAATTTGGATTTATCAACTACCTATTAATTTAAATGAAATAAATTTGATTTCCTTGAAGTAAAGATTTTGAATTTGAATCTTATGAATTGAAAGACTGACATCATGAGAGTTTTTCTTTTTATAAAATCTGACATGACTCGACTTCAATTTAATTTAAGTTCACAATGTGGTTTTTGAATATTAAGAATTTAGTATAATAAAAAAAATAAGAATTTGGATTTGTTTTGTTAACTATTTGTATTGATTGGTACTATGCACTCTAGAGATGATTAATCAACATGTAGTAGCTAGTAGCATTTTAAGTTTATCTCATGTACATATATATATTAGCTCACCTGTGTAGGTTTCCAGCCTGCATTAAAGAATTTTATCTTATGTCCTAACAACTCATAGTGTTATATGACGACCAAAAAAAACTTAATTATTTCCATGGGAAGTTGACAACTATATATTGGCCCACTAATTTCATCTGTTGTGTCCCCTATCCTGTATACTGAATAATGTCTCAAGTTGTTTCAAGTCATGAAAATGTCTAGTATCATTGTACCCATGAATCTCCCGATCAACTATTACTAGCTAGCTAGAAACCTTGCACAATTAGAAAGAAGAACAAACAAGAAGAAAAACTACTTGTATACAATACAGCCGAGATGGATAGAGGAATAATGTCCCAAGTTGTGTTCAAGTCATGAAACTTAACAATAATATATAAATGATAATTGAAAATTTTATTTTCTTATATATATAGTTCTTGTTAAATAATTTTATTTAATTAAAAAAATTTTAATTAGCATTTGTATATTGTATTAAATTTTCATTTAAAATTAATTTTTAAATAATTAAAGGGACAAATTCATTAAAACAACTGAAGTTAAAGGGAGGAGGTAGTATGTGATAACCAGAGGTTTACATTTTACAATAAAGTAATGAGAGGCAAAAGAAGGGACCAGAAAGGGGAAGAACGGGTTGACGATAAAGTAATAAGGGGTCAAAAGAAGGGGCAAATCCCATAGCATATATAACGAAGCAAATTTGGGGCCATCTCAGACATACTGGAAAATGGAGAGACGGCCCTAGCGAGCTACCAGAAATATTCATTCATTCATTTTCATTTTTCACGATATTATATCTATAAATTATTCACCACAAAATTTTTTTTTTCAATAAAAGGAAAATACATGATTAAAATGACCATATACGAACCGTTGGATGATGGGTAATGAAACATAAAAACTCGATCTAGCGGTTGAGACTTGAGCGGATAGGAATCATAGCAGAAGAAGGCAATGGAAAAGAGAAGTGGGAGTGAGGCAGCTGTCTCCAACTTGTTTAACCGGGATGGAGAAAAACTGAAAAAGCCATATGGTGTACTCGATCCTACATTTCCTTTTATAATAATCTCTTAATTTATTTAAATAAAAACAAAATTAAGAATTTAAATCCTTGCAATATTAAACATTTTTTTATTCATTTTAAATAAATTTATTTTATTTTTTTTTTAAATATAAATTTTAAATAAAAATTTAACTACTTATATAAATAACAATTTTTTTTTTTTCAATATAAAGTTTTTATTGAGTATTTTTATTTGATAAAAAAATTTTATTATTATTTATATAATATATTAAATTTTTATATAAAATTTATATTTAAAAAATCAAAAAATAAAAATAAATTTAAAAAATAACCGAAGGGAGTAACTATCTCTGAATTTTCACTTCTCTTCAAAGGAAAAAAAATAATAATTAACTCAGAATCAAACAAAAAATTTACTAGTAGTAGTTCAATAAAAACATTATCTAATTAAAAGGAAAAGGAATGCATAGTATAAGTAGAATATCTGTGACTGTGGATTGTTGAACTCATGAACACGACCGTCACGCAGGCTTTATCACACGCTACCCGTCCCTATATTTTGGGCCCCGCTGTCAGTTGGGTTTTACTGACACTTTTTTCTACAGTATATCGATATCTAGAGTTTTTTTGGCCGCAACTAGTTCTACCCCTTGTAAATTATCTCATCCACAAATATTTGGTTAAATCTTGAGTTTGGTCTTCAAATTAAAAAAATTTTTGATTTGGTCTTTAAATTATTGTATGGACCCCCAATTTAGTCCATATTATTTACCAATTTACCTTAAATTAGTTTTTTTGTAACAAAACCAACTGACATATCTTGTTATTAACATGACATGTGGTCGTCAAGTTATTATTTTTTTGTTGTTAGGTTACTATTTTTCGTCATTAAATAATAGACACGTCAATTATTTTTTGTACGAAATGATTAACTTGCGGCAAATTGATAAATAATATGACCAAATTAAGGGTCTATACGATAGTTAAGGGATTAAATTAGAGATTTTTTTTAGTTTAAGGACCAAATCTTTAGTCCGTATAATAGTTTAAGGACTAAATTTGAGGTTTAACCTAAATATTTTATATGAGTTAAAGTATATTTTATTTTTATAAATAAATTCATTTAACCTTAAAAAAAAAATTGCTTGGCAATGATATACTTAAAATAGCAAGTAGAATTATAAGTTTATTAACAAATATAACGTATTATTAAATAAATAAATACGTAAAATATTATAGATAAATTTTGAGAGTGTGTTTGGTTTGGAAAAAAGTTTCCTAATACTTTTTTTTATTTGGATTTTTTAATGTTATTTATGATTTTTATATCTTAATATTTTAACAAAAGAGTACAAGTGGCATTTCCCTAACATAATTTTTAATTGATAAAATTTTCTTTCTACACTTTATGAAGTAAAATTATTTCTTTTCAACTCATTTGATAATTTTTTTATTAACCTTTATATGTTGATTTTTTATTAAATGTAAAAAAAATTAATAGTCAAAGAAAATTATAACAAAATTTTATAATAAAATTTATCAATTTTTTATATAGTATTTTTATAACTACTTTCCTACTAAAAAAATTTTAAAAAAAATTAACTTTTTAACCAAATAGATTCTAAATATGAAAATCAATTATATAATAACGACACTTGCCACTTGGCCTTAATACCAACAATTATTTGGTAAGAGTCAAACAAGCCCCCGGACGTTTAAAGGCGTCCAAAATTCGTCCAAATAATGGAAACGGGTCCGCAGCACTGCCGATAGGAAAAAACTGGGTTTCAGCCCATTTTGTTACAAGATTGTTCTGGACCTTCTGGTGCCCGTAGGCGGTAGGCACTAGGCCTCGATACATATAACCCGTATTTGGTGAGAGCCAGTACTAAACGAGGACTCATTTGGTCTTGGGTTTTTGGTCCGTTTGAAGGCATTAACTGTTTGGTCACCCATAAATTTCCTTTTCCTAATTTTGGTTTTACTTCTACGTACAATCTTTTACCAACAACAGCTACATTAAATTGAATATAATTAATTTAAAAATTTTGATTTATTATGAAGGCGAGGGGTTCAAATCGTTATATGCTGAATAGTTTGAAATAAAGAAAATCTTACATTTGGAAAGTATAAGAAAATAAAAGAATTTTTATATATTTACTTTTTATTTATAAATAATTATGAAGAGTTATACTCTCAGTCTATGGACTTTAGATATAAGCCTTGTCTATTTATATTATTATTTAGAAGGACACTTCAAATTTATTTTTTAGTAAATTTTAAAATTTTTAATTAATTAATTTGTTTAGAATTAAAAAGACATGGTTACCAATAATTTAAATAATTCAGTAGTAATTTTTTTTATTAAAAGTAAAAAATTTTAAATTTGAATTATATAGCATATGAGTGAAATGAAGTAAAAATATAAAAAAAAATACCTCTTGTTGTACAATCAATCATTAAAAAAAAAGAAAAAAAGACATGACTAAATTTTAGACACAATTTTTGGAAGCTAAAAAAGAACCTTTTCGTGATGATATCCTTTTATAGGGACACATCCTTTCAGTAAGTATCTTTTCGTAGAAACATATCCCTTAATTGATATCTATTCTAATGGTATAAATTCCTTTATTAGAATATATGTTTTGTACCTAATTCTCAGAGAATTTTTTAGTTTTGTTATATTTTAAAAGATTTTTAAACTCTTAAAAAAAATAAAATCAAGTTTATAATTTGTTATTCTTTTATTTTAGTATTAGTTTCTAATATTACAATATCAAACAAGCTGACTTCCAATGTATTAAAAAAAAAGAATCTTCTGGCATCCTCTTATTTTGATTTAAGAAAAATGATTTAAAAATAATTTTATTATTATTTTTTATATAATTTATGTATCATTTAAATTATTAAATTTTTTATTTATTTAAGATTTATAATATTAAATATAATAAATTCACTCATTTAATGATATATCTTATTTAATAATATAAAAAAATTATATAAAAAATAATATAAAAAATTATTTCTATATCACTACTTTAGATTTATATAAGCACTCATTTGGTTTTGGAATTCTTTTATCTTTTATTCAAGGAAAAATTAATAGAAAAGATTTTCAGCACACACTAACATATGGATCCCAAGCATTGCTCTGTCTTCTTAAAATCACGAGCTATTGAAGAGAGTCATCTGCTGGATGTTGATCGGGTAAGAATCAGAGGGAGGGCCATAGAAAGCCCTGCCAGCAAGAATGGTATTCACCGCCTCGGTTGGATGGAATGCATCCCAAAACACATACTGGCTTCTGTTTGCACATGGGTATGCAAATGGCAGACATGTAATCTGCCCTAAATTCCTCCCTATTCCACAGCACCCTCTGTCCAGCACAGTAAACCCTGCAAAATTCCCACATTCCATAATTTAAACATCAATTTCAATGTTAATATCAAGTTCCCCGGTTTTGGCGTTGTTTTTGTAGAGCTTCTCTGCTATAAATGGTAAAAAGAAATCGATAATGAAACTGAATCAAACAGTTTTCTTAAATTTAAATTTAATAAATTTTAATTTCTAACCCTTTAAATTCGAACATAATTGCTAAATTATGATGATTGCTTACCATAATTATCGGGATTATTTAGGATGTCACCCACAGCACTATAAGTATTGCCATAGACAGAGACTGCACCAGGACGCTTGTTCAGCTGGTCCACTATTGATCTGAGCCCTTCATTGAAGGTGCCAATAATCTGATTAACGGAGTCTACGCATCTCCCCTCTGGCGCCTGACCAGAGGCTCTCTGGTTAGGTATGCAGCCGAGAGGTCCGATCCCGGCTATGAAGAATTTCCTGAGTCCAACATTATAAAGTGCCTGCAACAGTAGCCCAATTAAAGTTACCAATCCCAATCACTAACAATATATATTAATTACCATAATAAAAATGTATTTTACAGATTAAATTATTTCAAACTATAAAACACTGATTTTTAAATAGTATTCCTCCCGACTCTTACCATGAATTATCAATTTGAAGTCTAAATGGTTGCAAGCATATATATATATATATATATGTATGTATATTTTTAGTCAAAGTTGGATGTTAAGATTTCCGTAATAGCCAAGCGCTTTAATTACCAGAAGTTGACGAGCATAATGATTGAGAAGAAGGTTGGCGAATTCCGGGGGACTGTAAACATAACTAGAAGAGTACATGGAAGGCATGAGATAGTTGTTGATGTAGTCATTGCTTCCAAACACCAAAATTGCAATGGATTTGGCTAGAAAATCTGTCAAATTTCTCCCATCCAGCACTGTTCGTAGTTGTTCCAAAGTGCTCTCGAAATTCAGCACTTGCTGGCTCAAGCTATACCTTTCTCCCTGAATATATAATTTGCAATAATATTTTTTTAACATTAGGGATGGAATTGAAATCTCACACCTCTTAAATTTTAACATAAATTTTTTTTATAAAAGTGAGATAACTACTGAAACCATAAGGATTCGTTCTCATAATTTATAATAACTTAATTTCTTTTTAGATCAAAAAATTGAGGACGATATATGCGTACATAGTTTTGGCCGGACTCGTCAAGGATCCCGGCTGATGCTGAAGCATAGTTCACTCCAGCGAGTAGTCTGTCTCCGACGGTGTTGGAATCAGAAAAGGGAAGGGGATAAGGTGCACCCATCATGTCTCCTGCTTGGACACGGAAAAACCCTGATTAGTTGTGTATTCTATTGTGTATTCGGCGGTATATTACTGGTCGTCTTCACTAATAATTTATTAAATAATAAATATTAATTATGTTATTTATCATTAATTGTATTTAATAATTAAATTAAATTAAAATGTTAACATTTTTAATGATTCTAACAAATATTTATAAATACTATAATTGATTATTTAAAAAAATTATAAACTAATAAAATTTCTAAATAAAATTAATAACCTTAACAAAATTATCCATACCTATAATCTAAACGCAATGTATTTAAATTTACATATATGTTCTCTAATAAACCAAGACTTACCAATTATATCAACGAAGGTTTTTCCATTAGAAAATCTACCAGTAGGACCCATATTAAAGTCAATGCCATAAGGAAAGTAGTTGGCTTTTGCAATTGAGCTGAGGAAATTGTTGTTGCCAACATCTACTAATGAGTCCCCAAACACAAACAGAGCTGAACCTCGATCCGAGCTGACGATCCGATTCGAGCCCTGCAATATTAAAATCACGACGGCAACGCCAGTGAACCACAGACGGTGATGGAAAACACCCATCTTCTATATGAATGTATAGGTGATGAAGAATATTAGGAAATAGGGCCGGCTTGTGCAATATAAGGGTGGTGATGGGAGAGGAGCGATGTAGGGATTGGAAAAGAGACTATATCCATTTTGAAACGGATAAGTATGGGACGTATGCAAATTGCGAAGCCCGAAAAATGTTGCTTTTTCTCCTGATTTTGGGTGGTCTTTTTAACGTCCGTTTTTGCCTTTTTCTTCTTTTACTAGTATGTTGAGTCCTTGTTCTTACCATGTGAGCAATCAGGCATGTAAGCCGTGGACTGCCAAAAATTAATGCAAAATATATTTTGAGTAAGTTGTACTTGTTATTATTTGGTTTGACAATCTCAAGACTTACATACATTAAAAACCGAGTATAGTTTTGTAAATTAAATTTAAATTTTAAATTTTAGAATTAAATTAAAAAAAAATTTAATTATATCATGTTCATATGAGAATGTACCCTTATAATTACTTGAAAATAGATTAATTTTAAGCTAATTCACTCTAAAAGTAAATAAAAAAATGATTTGAGAAATACGTATTCAATCAAAAACAGCCAAATATTGAAATTAGAGTCAAGGTGCTCTTTTAATAATATATTGGTTAAATTTTCAATTTGGTCCCTGATATTGTACGGACCTCGATTTGATCCCTAAACTAAAAAAAATCCTTGATTTGATCCTTAAACTATTGTATGGACTTCCGATTTGATCATACTATTTATTAATTTACCTCAAATTGATCATTTCGTACAAAAACTAACTGACGTGTCTTATTATTAACGTGACATGTAATTATTAAATTATTATTTTTTATCATTAAGTAATGGACACGTTAGTTGTTTTTTGTATGGAAAAACCAACTTGGAATAAATTGGTAAATAGTAGGGATCAAATTAGAGGTCCGTACAATAGTTTAGGGATCAAATTAGAGATTTTTTTGTTTAAGGACCAAATCAAAAGTCTATAAAATAGTGTAGGGACTAAATTAGAAGTTTAACCTAATATATTTTTAATATATATATTTTTATTGAACTTGTAATGTCACGAAGCAGAGTTCAAGCAAATAAGTTTGCACCCTAACGCAAGCGCAGTCATTTCACCAGAAGTTATAATAAAGCATGAATTTTTTTATAATTTTTTCAACTTGTGACTTGATGTTACATATTAAAAGATAATTAATAAATGTTTATTATTTAATTTATAAACAATATAAAATTTAAGATTTATTTTAATATTAATATTATTTGTATAATTTTAATTAAAAAATTAAAAAATAATTTTTTAGTATAAATTAATTATTAAAAAATATATTAATTATACATTTAACTAAATACCTAAAGGCCAGGCTTTTTTTCTTGGTGTGAGTATCATGGTCCCTCTGTTCTTCCATTCTCTTACCAGCCCTTGAACCTAAGAACCAGGTGACTAAAGCATTTGAATTTTGAAACCAAATGCTGGGCCAGCAGGCCAATAGCAGTAGGAAGGCTAGTAAAATGTAAAGAGCACTTTTAACGATTTTATGCATTTATACATCTTTATCATCATACAATGACTTTACCAAAGAGTAGATACTTCATGGAATAGGAAATCACCAAAGATTTGATGCTCAATTGATCTATTTGACCCCTGATGCAGTGTTGTCATGCATAACAAAAAGGAGTGTCTACAGAAATACGCTTAGGTTGTGTTTGAAAATTTAAATTTAAATTTAAGGAGTGTATTTAAAATATATATATTTAAAATGCATGTAATTTAAATACATATGTTTTAAGTATTTATTTAAATACATGTATTTTAAATATTTATTAAAATACATAATTTAAATAAATTAAATTACTATAAATTTAAAATTGAATTGATATTGATTCTTTTTATTGAGATATTTTTACAAACACTCAATAAACAATCTTAGTTACCTATGCCATTAACCTTATTTCTTTCCATACGTTTGAAGTACTGTATCAAAAAACTCAAAATATCATAATTTCAATGAGACAATTTATCAAATAGGTGGTGTGCAAAGCGAATCTACAGAGGAATAACCCTCGCCATCCACATCGACCTCCATTACGCCAGCGCCGAGTTCTCCTTTCTCCGACTTCGTGGTCTTCGCTTCCTCCTCAAATCTCTTTGATCCATTGCCCAGTCTGATTCCACTATCCTCCTCTTTTGCCACACACAATCCATCCCTGAGCTTTGAGGTTCTTTGACTTCCACTCCACCAATTCCATTTTATTTTTCTTTTTTAATAGATATGATGAAATACCAAAATTAAGAATTGAAATTTATACTCCCATCATCGTTAGAGTACCCTTGTACTCTATATTAATAATAAAAAAAAAAAAATTTATTTGGCTGATAAAAAAAAGAATTGAAATTTATAGGGTAAATAGAAGAATTTGAAATACACAATTTTAAATATATGTATTCGAAACAAATTCAAATATACTCTTATTTAATATAAATAAATAGTGTATTTAAATTTGAAGTTTCAAATTCAAATACACTTTAATCAAATTTACATTCCCAAACATAGCATTAAAGTTTTCTTTGACCAACTTTTCTAAAATTTTATCTTTCTGAACACCATGAAATGAAATTCTAACCCTTCCCAAGCTTGGGTTGGGCAAAGACAACGGGAAACGAGGGAAATACTCTGGGGATTTGATGAGACTTGAGAGTTAATTTTAGTTCTGATTAGGCCTAATAAAATTAAATTCAATTTGATCTAAAAGTTTCATCTAACTCATTTATTAAGGGTTAAGGCATACATTTAAAGTATTAATTTAAAATTTAATATGGTCTAAATCAAAATTACATAAATTTGATTACATTAAATTAAAGTCAAATCAGGTCAACTCAAAATACCTTGGTTAAAATTAACTAGTTTTTTAATTTAAAATTT